CAGACCTGCGGAGATAATAACATGCAACAAAACAACAAAAAGTAAAAAAAATAAAAATAAAAAGTCAATGACAAACAACAACAAAACCCAACTCAACAACAACAACAAAGAAAAGCCTTGAGTTAGTTCAAGGACTGTTTGTTGGCCTTTAGGAATGTTTTCCGGTCGAGTCTGATGGGATACCAAGCCCTGGCCCCTAAGTCTATTTTTGGTATTCCCTGAGCACTTCGTTGCTCTGTTATCCTTGCTGTTCCATTGCACGCCCTTAGTGTTTTGCCTTGGTTTGGTGGGATCAGATTGGGCACAATTCCCACACTGTGTCTCCAGTGTTGTTCCCTGTAGGGATATGGGTCAGTGAGGGATGTCACGTCTCATAGTGGGGCCGACCATGTAATCTTCTCTGTGGATTGGCTGCTCTGAGTGGGAATATTGTCCTCCAGGCTTGATGGGCCAGCATGTGCCTACTCTCTTCCTCCTCCTTCATTTGTTCCCATGTGCTCTTATCAGACATGTCCCTTTCCCTGAGCTGCAGCTTCAGTGGTGTCCTCTGAAATAAATTCTTCTTGGGGGAGGGTCAGCTGTCCACGTAGTTGGGATTGGGGCCAGCCCCTCAGTGATCTAGTTTTTAAGATTCAAAATTGTCATACTGCTTTAACAGGTTTCACTACCTGTTGAAGTCAAAACAAGAGATTGTGATTTTTTTAATGCAATGTCTGTTTATAAGTTTTTAATGGGAATCCCTCAGTGTTAGTGTTTAGGAGCACTGGAGAAACTGTGTCTGTCTCATACTGTGTGTATCTCACCTGTACCAATATGCTCATTCATTCTATAGAAAGCAATAACTCATTGTTTATTACTTAGGTTCCTGGCAAGTTTGCAGAGATTGAACGTCACCATTACAAGAGCCAAGTACAGCCTCTTCATCCTCGGACATTTGAGAACACTGATGGTGGGTGCATTCATGGGAAGCAGGGATTCCAAAGGGTAGTGTGCCATTGTTAGTGTTTGTTACTGGGTTGGGGGGTTGTTTTTATTACTCATCAAAATAGAAATGATTTCTAGGTCACAAAACATTAAGCCTATTTTCTGATGGATGTTATGTTTTCCAGCTTCTTCTTCCTGAGAGCCTTCATATACATAAATCACTCAGCCTTTCTCAGTCTGTAGCCCAGGAATATAATAAACTAGGATCTCAAGATACCTGTATTTTAAAAACTTCTTTTTGCATCATAGGATTGTTAGGAATGCATATAAATCCATACTTGCTAAAGCAGTACTAAGGCTCCCTTTATGCCAGAGAGAAGGTGCTTGCAATAGCGTGCTCTGGTTTTCTTTTTCTTTTTCGTACTTTCCCATTTCACTTTAGCAGTTAATATCTTGTGAGGATCTGGGCTAGTATAAGTTCTTCTCTAGAATAGGTGTACATGCTGGTATTTTTAGTAGACAAATTTTGTTGCTTAATTTTATGACATCATAGCTGTAGATGGCACACATTTCCTGTTTGTCTTAAGGAAAAGATAAAACTTATTTTTAGGTTTTCTAATTTCTCTATTGAGTTGATTTTATCCACCCATTTTGGTTACATCCACCAGAGGGGCACTCAGATTCTCATTCTTTTTCATTGAACTCTTGACTGGTATTCTCTTAGATCTGTGTTTTATGTTTGTGCACTCTCATAAACATGTTTTTAAAAGCTAGGAAACTCCTTATTTTTTTTAAAACTATTCAGGCAAACTTTATTTAATGAGAAATCTACAAGTTAAAATTAGTATAGCAAAGCTCAGAAAATACTAAAGGAGGGCGAGTTCCCGGACCTAACTCGCTGGGTCTCGGAACTGCCCGGGGCATTGTGCCCCCATCCCTTTCTCTGCCCGCCTTTCCGGCCCAGGAGTTCTTTCCCTGCCTCAATAACAGTTTCTCAACTCCAAAAAAAAAGAAAAGAAAATACTAAAGAAAAATGAACAAACAAAATAACCACTTGGGTTAGGGGAGTGAAGGTTCTAATTCTGGACCATATCGTTCCTGGATGTGGATCAGGAGTTTATGTGGAAGATGTATGTCAAGAGACTGAGACGCTGGTGCCCTGGCCAGAGCTGGGGGTGGAGGACCTGTGGCTCCCTCCAGTGTAAGTGCTCATGCAGTAGCAAGATGAGAATCACATGCTGCCCCTGTAGCTGGCCTGAGATAATACTCTGGCTCTTCAATAGGCTATCTCTCAGTTTTTGGTGATTGAGTTGAGGAGGAGGTCCCTGGTGATTGCTTCTGCTCCATTACTGCTGTAGGAATGTGATCCCCACCACCAGGTTCTCCAGGGGCCTGCTCTGGAACTGGCCCAAGAAAAGACTCTAGTTCTCCAATAGACTCTCCTTCTGGTTCAGGTGTTAGACGTGGGGGTGGGGTCACTAGTAATGGCTCCTCTTGCTGTAGTAGCATGGGAACAGAGCCTTAGTCAGTAACTGATGGTCCTTGGTGATTTGCTGCACCTACCAATCTCTGTGGCTCTGGGGACATGGGCTCCTTCCCGTGGCCTCTTGGAGATCCGGTAGGAAGGTAGGAACTGTAGGTCTGGCTTGTTCACGGTGACTTTTAAGTACTGCAGCAGGAATTTCAGAGAGGCAAACGGCGGGGGGACTGGTGGAAAATCAGTCTTGGATGGAAAACGAGTCACTTTCCAACTAGATGCCCAGGATGTACAAGATGGCTTCTTTCAGTAGTTGCTGGCTTCCACCACGCCCTTCAGACTTCAGACAATTTCAAGTGTATTTAAAGGAATCATCAAGTCTCCTTGTTTTTAAGTGTACTATCTAAAATTCTTTATCATAAGTTTTTTTCTTTTGCTAAAGTTGTCTCTGATATATATTAACATCTTAAAAATTAAACTATTGGGAGCAAAGTTTAAGAGAGAGAGTAGACCACATCCTGACCCACCAAGCTCCAGGACAACAGTCCTGCTGAGAACAGCGAAGGCACAGAGGACCATCGGGCCGGCCCCACCACAAGACACGATGTCCCCTCACTGACCCACAATGCTTCAGGGGACAGTACTGGAGATACAGTGTGGGGATTATACCCAGTCTGACCCACACACAACAGAGCGAAACACAAAAGGAGCGCAACAGAGCAGCAAGGGGAACAAAGTAATGAAGCTCACAGGAACCCCGAAAATAATAGGCTTCAGACTCAGAGGGCAGGGCTTGGCACATCATCAGACTCGATTGGAAAACATACATAAGGGTCAGCAAATGGACCTGGAACAATTTTAGCCCCTCGCCCCCTTTTTTTTCTTCATGTCTATCTATATAAGATAAGGCAATGTAAACAACCCCAAGGATTGTTAATAAAACTATAAGACCCGTGGTGCCAAGGGGATGGGGGAAAGGAGGGGAGATCCAATAAATCCAGGGACCAAGGGAACAACATGAGATCTAAAGTTGATGGCAAGGAAGATATAGAACACCTAGAGGCATTTGATCAAGTACAGTGTAGCTGAGAGGAATTATAGCCGACTGGATGAAGGTCGAACATGATACTGGGACAGGAGGAAAATAAAAGGGAATACATTTATAGAGATGTAAATATAGGCGTATATATGTAAATATAGTAATATAAAACAATAGAGATATATAGGTCTATGAACATATATTTACACGTAAGTATTAGGTAGCAATGTTCTTTGGGCCTCTACTTAAATCCTCCCTCAACTCAAGAACACTTCATTCTAATAATCTGGCATTCGGTGATACTCATTTTCCCGACACGATTCCTGAAGACAAAATGGGTACGTAAGCAAATGTGGTGAAGAAAGCTGATGGTGCCCGGCTATTAGAAGCTACAGCGTCTGGGGTCTTAAAGGCTTTAAGTTAAATAAGAAAGCCCACATGGAAGAAGCACACCAGGCTGTGTGATCACAGGGTGTTGAAGGGATCAGGTATCAGGATTCAGAAGACCCAAAACAATCATATCAATGTGAACGAGGAGGGTCGGAGTGGAGATGGAAAACCCATCTGTAGACAACTGGATATCCCCTCACAGGCCACAAGGCGGGGCCTGGCCCTAATCCCAGCGGACACCCCCATCCCACCCCCAGAAGAATGCACTACAGAGGACAGCACCGAAGCTACAGCTTGAGGGGGGTGAGTCTGCTCAAACACAGAAGCAAACTAAAAAATAGGAAAGAGTGGGACACGTCTTGGCCCACCAAGCCCCGAGGACAATATTCCTGGTCAGAGCCACCAATGCACAGAGAGGACCATAGGGCTGGCCCTACCACAAGACAATGACGTACCTCACTGACCCATAGCACTAAGGTTAACAACACTGGAGACACAGAGCGGAAATTGTGACAATCTGACCTCACTACAGAAGGGCCGGCAAAAGAGCGACAAGGGGAGCAAAGCAATGAAGTCCCCGAGGAATCCCAAAATATTGACTTTGGGGGCAGGGCATGGCACCTGAACAGACTCAAACACAGACATACCTGGAACTATTTATAGACTTTTGTGTGTGTGTGTGTGTGTGTGTGTTGGGGTAGGAAAGTTATATTGGAAAATACTTCATTAGGAAGATAGTGATTGAGTTGTGTCCAGTTTTAGCTATCTAGTACACAAACACCACAAGTAGGTAGCTTTAAACAAACCATCGCCTGCTCCCGAAAGATTGCATGTCTGATAGCTGAAAGTACAAATGCGAATCTCAATCATGTAGATTATTTTTTTTAAATCATTTTATCGAGAGTTCTACTAGCTCTGATCACAATCCATGCATACATCCATTGTGTCATGCACATTTGTATGTAAGTTGCCATCATTTTTTTAACGATAACCATTTATAAATCAATTTACTGGGGACTTGTACAACTTTTATCACAATTCATACATACACCCATTGTGTCAAGCACATTTGTACATTTGCTGCCATCGTCACTCTCAAAACATTTTCTAGTTGAGCCCTTGGTATCAGTTCTTAATTTTTCCCCCTCCCTACCATGCCCTCCCTCATGAACCCTTGATAATTTATAAATTATTAATTTTCCATGTCTTACACTGTCTGATAATCTCACTTCACCCACTTTTCTGTTGTCCGTCCCTCAGGGAGGGGGTTATATGTAGATCCTTGTGATTGGTTTCCCCTTTCTATCCCACCTTCCCCTTTCCCACCTGGTATCTCTACTCACATTATTGGTCCTGAGGGGTTTATCTGTCCTGGATTCCATGTGTTTCCAACTCTGATCTATACCCGTGTACGTACTGTGGTCTAGCCAGATTTGTATAGTAGAATTGGGATCATGATAGTAGGGGTGCAGGAAGCATTGAAGAACTTGAGGAAAGTTGTGTGTTTCATTGTTGATATACTGCACCCTGACTGGCTCGTCTCTTCCTTGTGACCTGTGAGGGGATGTCCAATTGACTACAGATGGGCTTTGGGTTTCCACTCCCCCTCATTCACATCGACATAATTTTTTGTTCTGGGTCTTTGATGCTTGATACCTGATTGCATCGACACCTCATGATCACACAGACTTTGTTACTTCTCAGCTAGATGGCTGCTTGTTCATCTTCAAGTCTTTAAGACCCCAGATGCTTTATCATTCGATAGTCAGGCACCATCTGCTTTCTTCACCACCTTTATTTATGTGGTAGTTACAAAATCTGGCGTCAATTTTGGGACTTGAGAGGAATAAGAGTGAAGGGGTGAATTCTAGTCTTGTCAGTCAGGGTATAGCCAGTGAGACCTCTGTACAGACATGGCCTTCCCCTGAGGATTTTGGGAAAACTCTGGTAATGGTATTCTGGGAAACTCTCTTTCTGTCCCTCTGCTCACTCCCTGAGAGATGCTCGACTGACAAGACACTTGGTACTATGCCTTGGAACTGGAGAAGCCACATGGACCCACCCTGATGCAACCAGACCCCTGGAGCCAGAGAAGCCATGTAGAGACCCCTGCCAGCGCTGAGATATTTACAACGCTGGATCTCTGTCTGGATCCACAAGACTTCCAATTCACTAGCCTGTGATCCTCCTGCATTTGGCATCATTGCAAGTGTTTCTTGAGTCTGTAGAGGACTCTATAGATTGGTATCTGACATATGGGCTAATATTGGACTTAAGGACTTAATCTGGACTGGGCTGGGACGTTTTTTCAATATTCACTTGCTCTTGTATATAAACCTCTTTCTTATTCACATATGAGTCCCCATGAATTTGTTTCTCTAGTCTAGCCAGACTAACACACAGGTTATTAGAACAAAGTGTTCTTGCGTTGAGGAAGCCTGTCTACTACCTTAATTCTTATAAATAGATGTCCGTAGATCTATTTTCCTCTCATACATAAATATATTAACATAAGTACATGCCTGTATTTAGACCCCTAGTTGTTCTATTTCCTTTTACTTCTTCCCTCTTGTCCTGCTATCGTGTTCTACCTTCATTTTCAGTTTCAGTAATTCCTTTTAGCTACATTGCACTTGATCAAGCCCCACCAGGCAACCTATGCCCTCCTAGACATCGATTTTAGATCATTTGTTGTTCCCAGGCTTTTTGTTTTGTGTTTGTGTTATTGTTTTTGCATGTCTATCTAGATAAGGCCGACAGGATAAATAATCCTGAGGAGAAAACAATGGGACCAGTGGTTCTGGGGTAGGCAGGAGAAAGGAAGGGCAGGGGGGCGCAACAAATCCAGGGACAAGGGAACAATTATGAGTCTTCCTATAAATAGGTACATAGAAAATAAGTACCCATGTGGCTACAAGCCACCCTCAATTATGGATGGTAAGTGTGAAAATATTTTAGAACATTTCAGATAAGAGTATTTCTAGGTTAAAGATTAGGAAACAGGCTCTCAGAACTCAAGTAACTTAACAGGTTCATACTGCAAAGATTGCAGCCTTAGAACTGCCCGCCCCACTTTTCTGCATAGTCCAGGACCATGCAAGGGCAGGCAGCTGTCAGTCCTGGTGTTTGTAAGACCGCAGTCTATTGCTGAGGAGACTAAAGGGAAGAGAGGAGAGAGGTGCACAACGCTGGTGTGATTTCTTCCATGTGCTTTCAGCACTTACATTCTTCTAGCAAAAAGATAGAAGGCAAGAGATTACCTTTGGACTAGTATCTCATCGGTTAGACATTTATTCTTTGGGATTTTGGGGGCTTTTTGAGAATTGGCAGATAACTGGGTCTCTAGAACAGTGGTCTTCAACCTTCCTAATGCCGTGACTCTTTAATACAGTTCCTCATGTTGTGGTGACCCCCAACTATAGAGTTATTTTCGTTGCTACTTCATCACTGTCATTTTGCTACTGCTATGAATCTGGCGACCCTGTGCAGAGGGGTCTATGACACTCGCATGCACCGAGGAGGGTGACTTTCTAGTCTCAGGCAGCGGTCTAGATCAGCTGTGGAAGTAGGTCTGTGCTGTCCACTGTGCTAATCACTGGTCACTTGTGACTGAATGGAACACTTGACATGTAGCTGGCGCAAAAAAGGGACTTACTTCACCGTAGCTACATGAGCGCTGCAGACAACTGGCGCAGATCTACAAGGCGGCTTTACTTTCCCATGGTTAGCAGTGGCAAGGACCGTGAGTGCTCTCCCTGTATAGGTGTGACCAGTGCCTGTTTTTCATTGTATGCCTTTTTCCTTCTGGACTCGGGTATGGTTTTTCCTTTTGGTCTGTCTAACAAGTAGTGGTATCTTAAGCATCTATTTTTGAAAGTACACGTAACTGCTTTCCAAGCCTGTGAGTATTGCTTTAGGGTGTAATTGTTTCTCCCTTCTTTTTGGTTTAAGGAAAACCAACATTGGAATCACTTGATTCAAGATGCTCAGAAACGCGGTGCCATTATTAAGACTTGTGACAAGAACTATAAGCACGATGCCATGAAGATCCTGAAACTGAAGCCTGTGCTGCAGCGAAGTCTGACGCACCCTCCTGCCGTCGCCCCAGAGGGGCCCAGGGCCCCCCACAGTGACTTCGCCAGCAACAGACCGGAGTGCGGATTGACCAAAACTTCGGGCTCCCCTTCTCTGTGTCACAGCCCCACTGACTCTAAAGATGCTCCTGGTACTAGTGCTGCAAAGGACCCTGAAAGGCCGCCTCTTGTGGACCTGCTTCGGGACCCACGGCTGCTTAAAAGAGTGGGCATTGACAACCTTGAGAAATGGCTCAGGGATCAGCAGTCTGTGAGCCCCCGGCAAGGTGCAGTAGCAGCTCCTGCGGGTGAGCCAGGCTTCCCCGTCACTTACCAGGAGCCTGGGAGTATTGTGCAGCAGGCTGCTGCCAACTGCAGTCAGCATGTGCAGCACGAACTCCCAGCTGCTAGTACAGATGCTTCCACCAGCAAAAGAAAATGTGGGGACGTGGCTGGAGGGCTCTCCCACAGACGAGAAACCAGGGCTCTCAGTGAAGGGGACCTGGGAAAAAACTCTGTGGCGCACCAGAGGACCTCTGACCGGAACCCGTGGAGGCCGGATAAGGACGATGATCGTTCAAAGAAGAGAAAGCTTTCATAGTGCAGCCACAAGCTTCACAGTAAACGTAAACGACCAGCTAATAGTACCGTCTAGAAAAGTTTGGGGTTTTTCCCTTCAAAGGGGTTTGTGTGCTGTTGGAAAACACCAAAAAACGTGAAAATGTGTCCTAATATCTGAGGCGCTTGATCTTTAGTTCTTTTTGTCAGTTGCAAAAGCTTTCAGAGGGCATTTGTCAATAATAATGCCCTCGATGCCAGAGAATATAAATGCTGATCCCTCTTGTTCTTCTAGAACAAAGGAGGTCACACTGGTGGGAATGTTGTAAAAGTTGGAATGTATATTTGTATAGCAAATAACAAAATCCTTTTAAAATTTAATCTAGTGTAGACACTGTTCTTTCCCCTGCATATAATGTTAATCCTCATTCTTCAGCTGAACAGACGTGGTCTCAAGCAGCTGGAGAAGAGCAGCTTCTTTCCACCGCTGTTTGGCAATGCAGATTTCCTTCACAGCCGAGTTACTGTAATAAACTGATCTGGTGCCGGTGGGTCCGATGTCCTGAGTTCTATTTCAAAACAGCTGGAGTCTCCTGGGCAAACTTGGGAACAGTTTTATTAGGTCAAGTCCTGCTGGTGATGTGTGTTTCTGAATGAGGCACCTTGGCACAGGCTCTTAACATTTGTGACAAATTCATCTACCTCTTTTAGTAACTGCCTAGTTCCTGCTCTCAAAAGATGCTGTTGCTGGGTGGGAAAATCATTCAGACACCCGGCCTCTGGTGAGCTGGTTTGTCAGCCAGCAGTTGCTGAATGCTAGCTTAGTTGAAGGCTTGCAGATTGCTTGAGAATCCAGTTCACTTTAGACAGGTCCTGGAAAACTGTATGTCAGTCACCTTCCCTCCCAAAGAATTCTAATCACAGGGCAGCTCAGGCCCCACTGGGACTGACTGGACAGAGGACTTCAAGCAGGAAATGCAGCAGCAGTGTTTTTTGTTTTTTGTTTTCTTCATGTGAAGGGGGTAGGGAAGAGGAGGTTCCCAACTAGAAGGAGAGGTGACAAGTTCCCTATGAGCTCCATGATTACGGAGCTCTGATGGGAGTTTTCCTGTGAGAGGCCATTGTGCTTCCGGGAAAGGAAAGTGGCTGTTGATGAGTGGTGATCTAAGACACCTGCGACACAACTTGGAAGTCCGAAGTTTTGCCAAACACAAAACGAACTTTCCAAGTACTACAAACGGGACTATCCGAAGGTGCTGCAGAAAGTTGTGGGAATGTGGAATTAAATGATAATAGGGTTTTACACAGCCTTTTGAAGTTCACCTTGTTTTACTAGTACTTGGCAGTTATAATAACTAGGGGTTTGTCATGCATACTGTGAAATCCACTAGTTATTTTGGGATAGGAAAAGAAATTCCTGAACATAAATGGGTGTTATTTGAACATTTTTTTGGCATCCGCTTTTCTTTTAAATCATTGTATTGGGGACTCTTACAGCTCTTATCACAATCCATACATATATCCATTGTCAAGCACATTTGTACATATGTTGCCATCATTTTCAAAACATTTTCTTGGCATCTGCTTTTTAAGCAAAAGGGTTTAATTTTTTTTTAGACCTACAGAGCAGGTTTTTAAGAGCTTTATGAAAACAACTTGGTTGGTTGCCAGAAGTTGAGACGTTCTCCTCCATTACCTTGTGTCTCTGGCTGGCGTCTGGACACGGCCTAATGCAAGGGAGCACCAGCTCACTGCCCCCTCAATTGAGAGTCCACCTCTGCTTCCTGTTGGTGACTGAAGGGGGGTATTCTCCCAGAGGATGCCAGTCTTAACAGTGCCCGGTGGCAATTCAGTCCCCACTCATCCGACTCAAGGGCTCTCCAAGCTCTCTGTGCCTTCGGCAAGGAATCTTAATGCGTTTGTTGATTTCCTGCTACCTTTGTACAGCTCTCCATTTAGCAGAGGCTTGTCCTGAGAACAGCTTAGCTAAAAGCCTCTCTACGCTAAAGGAGACATGACAAAAACACTTGGGGTCAGGAAGGTCTCCCAATATGCTCATGTGAACACAGCAATTCAGGAGTTTACTCTCAAATGCATATGTTGTCACCACACCCCGAACAGTTACTTCCACATGAGCTTGAGGCTTCTCACTCACCACCTGTGTCCAATGCTTGCCCAGTCGGGTTGTGCTGGTAGGGATGAGGGGGAACTAGTGCAGGCTGAGCCCATGCCCGTTGATGGTCTCTTAGCAGAATACAGTTGGACCTGACATTAAAATTGAAGCCTTGCATTCTGTTTGCTGAGAGTACTTACATAAATCTTGTTCATAGATATCCCATGGCCGCCTTCACGGCGGGGCTACCATAGCTGTATTGCTGGATGGTAGGTAATCTTCCGGCAGGGTAGAAAATGTGGCTCTTGTCATCCTCACCGCCTGGCATCAAAAGGAAAAATTGTCTTCTTTCAACATGAGGAAAATCTAAAACCTTTTTTTAATTTGTATATAATTTGCTATGGATTTACTGTGCATACTTTTGTTTGTATTATCAGAGCAAATTTAATAAGTACTTGTGAATAATCTGTAAATGAAGTTTATAACAAACTACTAAATTATTTTCTAAAATGAGTTGTACAGATTGACTTTTTTTTTTTTACTGTAACTGATTCTATACTGTGAATTCTATAGCTGCGATTTTGGCAAGTAACAGCCTGTTGTCTTTGTTAAACATCTACGTTTTAAATGAAAAATAGCCAAATTAAAAGTGGAAACCAAAAAACAGACATGAATTAGGCGTATATATTATTGAGTTGAAAGTACAAGGTACTTAACCAGGTGATACATCTTGCCTGTCACTTGATTTGTGCTGGAATGGCTTCCCTGCAGAAGGCGTCTCATTCAAGTGTACAGTGGTGGGTCCTCACCAGCCTCAGCCCAGCTTCCTCCTGTTTTTCTCAGTTCCATTTGCTGTGCTCCTGGCCCACTGCTGGTCAGTTATATAGGACAGCTTGGTCCAAGTAGACACGTGCTTCCCATTAGGCTGTGATTGGGGAAGAGGGAGGGAGGAGGGGGAAATGGATAAGTGACCCATAGAAGGAGCTCCCAGAGCCCCTGAGAGAAGCAGGGGATAAAGGTCTACTTCAGGGGTACTTGCTGCTGAAGCAATAACTTCAGGAAGTGGGCTTAGCTTTGCTCTCGTGCATGTGAAATGGCATTTGACCACAACCTCGGTGGCTCTTCATGCCCCAGAATGTGTGCACAGAGAGCCCGCCTCCACATGCTCTGCCCATCTGGCATGCAGACGCACATTACCAAGAGTACAGTGAAGAATCGGAATAAGACGTTCACTGAGGGAGCAGAAGAGAGGATGCTCAGTGGTGGCCATTTTGCTTGCAGACTGGTTTTTAGTAAACAATGACCACAGCAGCTGGAGCAACCATCTTCTTTCCCCAAGCCACTAGACCTCTCTCTTGACCAATCCACCCACACTACCAAACCACCTCCTGGGTTTCACATTTATTGTTGGAGAAATGATTCAGGGAGGAAATGAAAATGTAGCCTCCCCTTAAATAGAATGTATCGTGTTATATGGCACTAGAATGGCCCTTTGTATGCACAAGGGATCCTCCTACAAGACCCAAGTGATTGTTACCATGCCCTCCTGTGCAGGAAGCATTTGGCCAAGTCCAGTGGTGTAGACGGAACCTGTGCATAGGGAACAAAGGTTTCTCTGTGTGTTCTGGTATTCCTCTGCCTAGGCAGTGTTCACATAGTCTAGCCTTGGTTTGCAACCAGGATTGCTGCTAGTGGAATCATTAGGCTAGTCAGTGTTTCAACTTGAGGGGGTGCACTTTTGGAGAGTCCCAGGAGGAGCTTGAGAATACTGAGGCTCCACCCCAGAATTTCGCATTCGTTTGGGGTGGCACTTTGAAAAACTTTAAACGTCAATAAATTCACTCCCAGATGATTCCATTGAGAAGCCAGTTTTGGGGGGGTGGTGGCTCTTGGGGGACAGGAAGAGAGGGGCAGCCTTGGCACTCCAAAGGAGTCAGGTTTGCCTTCTTCAGTACATCTACCCTCTGTTAGGTTTCTGGGATGGTTAACCTTGGTTCTTGTTTCTCAATGCTGAGACAATTCACATGGCAGAAGCACTTTTGTAAATCCAAATAACTTTAATGAGGGAAAAGGAAGTTTTGGGTATTACAGTCTCAGTACATGCTCTCTCTGGATAACGCTGAAGGCCACATGATGGGGCCAAGGGACAGTTCCAGACTGAAAGTGGCCGCTTCAGGGGAGCTTGAAAACCACATGGGAAAATGGCCAGAAAGAGGAGGCTGCAGAACCAAAAGAGAGCCCCTACCCTCAGTGTCTGCTTTTTACCCGCTCCTATCACCACTTGAGGGGGGTGTGGCGGAGGGGGTTGGCTGAGTCCTCGGGCATGTATGGTCGAGGGTTGCTAGTTCCTAGAGTGCATGCCCACTTTGGCATCATGTCAAGATGACCTTCAACTACACAAGCCCAACTTTGAATCTTCCCCATAGGTGTTAAATGGGTGCCTGACTTGTTTCCAACCCCTTTATTGCAGCATAGCCAGCTAATCTTTGTTCAGCGTAAGCATTCAATGGAGACAAGCCCCTTTACCCATAATCCTCCTGCCTGCCAATACTTCCGATATTCCCAAACTGATCTTCTGACCCCCAAAGCCTTTGCTTATAGTTTATGGGTCCTGCTGAGCATAAAACAGTGACTGGCCATTACAAGCACCTCCTTCCCATGGTTCTTGCTCACAGATTGTCTTCACCCCCTCACCTTCCTGAGTGCACCAAATGAGTCACGTCACCCCGGCTCATTCAAACTTATCAGGACAATGCACGATGCTCTCAACCCCAGTCACCAGTCCCTGCCCACAAGAGTTTACCCACCCACCTTCTCCACTCCCCGCCCCCACCCGCCCTCTGGAGCAGCCCGGCAGATTGTGCACCCCAGTAAAGCCTGTTACCTGATACCCGTACTCCAGCTCGGTTCTTTTTCCATCATATGGTGCTGAAACCTAGAAGGAGCAGGGCTGGGACTGCAAGGACACTCGGGTCAATTCCCCTGGGTATCTCCAGGGTACGTCTTCGTTTGCTGTTATAGACTGCAACCACACACTGGCCGATCTGGGTGAGTGTATATTTGAATATATATACACTTCCTCAAGCCTGTCTCTCTATGGCCTTTCATAAAGGTCCATGTCCCCAAAATCTAGGTCGGATGACTCTCAGCCCTTGGGGCTTGAGTGGCACTTAACGGGAGATGCCTTCCTAACCTGCGACCCCACTTCTACTTCAGAGGATGCCCGTTGGTGCCCTTTCTTTTCCCTAGGAACTCAGATTTCACACACACACACACACACACAAAGTATCCAATCTAAACCACCCCAAAATTCGTCTCTGGGTGTCTACTCAAACCTCTAAGTCTTAGTCATTAAATCAAAACACCTTCACAACCAAATTTTGCCTCATATAAATTAGACAGTAACTCAAAATGGCCGCAAGATGGCATTCTCGATTT